ACTCTTATAAAAGTTACTTGTTATTATATTTTAAATGTGTGGAACATGTACCTGGGGCTAAAATAAATCATCAAAATTATCCGGCTTGTTGGTAAAAGAGCAGACAAGAGTCCAGGCCATGGATTCTTAGGCTAATAATTCTGTCAGTACATTGTCACCATTTTTGTTAATAAAAGACTTTATTTTTAATCATATGAGACAACTACATTGGTGGTCTGAACAAAGTTTATTAATAATTTCTTCTCTTGAAATGCATGTATTACCGGGGTGATTAGCTTTGTTAATCATGCCTACCATAAAGTCAACCAATTAATTTCCTTCTGGATAATCTCTGTATTATTGTGAGAGTGAAAATTTTGGGCATTAGAAGAAGTATATTTTTGGACTATTAGGTTCTAACTCAAAGATTTTGAAAGCCCGGTGGCAACAAATGCCTTGAGGATAAAGGGCAAGATAAATGGAGGTGGAAAATGAGTCAAAAAGGGAAATAGAAAGATAATAAAGCATGGTTTACAAATTTGGCTCAGAATATCATGCTGCTCTATATGTTACTGATAAACACCTGCATTAGTCAGGGTTCTCTAGAGAAACAATCAATACAGGATATATAGATATATAAAATAAGATTTATTATGGAAATTGGCTCACATAATTGTGGATCTGAGAAGTTCTACAATATGCCTCCTACAAACCAGAAAATCAGGAAAGCATGTAATATACATCAACCTGAGCCCAAAAGCGTGAGAACTAGGGAAGCCTATGGAATAACTCTCAGCCCAAGTCTGAAGGCCTGAGAAAGGATTTGGTGGGAGTTGGGAGTAGAGGGATTCAGGGGGCTGCTGGTGTAAGTCCCGGAGTCTTCAAAGGCCTGAGAACCAGGACTTTTGATATCCAAGGGTAGGAGATTATGGATGTCCCAGCTGAGAAGAGAAAGTTTGTCCTCCTCCTGTGCTTTTGCTCCATTCAGTTCGGCCCTCTGTAAATTAGATGGTGCTGGCCTGTGTTGGTGGGGGTAGATTTCTTTACTCAGTCTACTGATTCAAATACTAATATTTTCTGGAAACACCCTCATAGATGCACCCAGAAATAAAGTTGTATCAAGTATCCAAGCACCCCTTAACTCAGTCAAATTGACACATTAACTTATCTTTCAGCTAACTTCTCTAAAACTACACTTTTTATAGTTTCTCTGAAATTTGTACTATTACAAGAAGGTCTATTTAGTCTGGCCCTTTTGAGGATGAATTACTCTTTGGAATCTAGATTGATACATTTTTCAAACTTATAAGCTCAGTGATTCATTTATTAATAAATATTAAAATGCATTGAATTAATGTACTTTTTTGGGATGGCGATGGGTTATTGATTTCTACAAATACTATGTATATCATCTTACCTAGGATCAATATATTTCATTACCATACTGGAATATCTTGTGTCTGGAGTTGCACTTTGAAAGTGATTTTATTCTAGAGCTGACAAGGTCTGTTCATGGCTGTCTAATTTTAGGAAAACTTTATCTGCATTTTTGTAGTCTTTTCGTACTTAATAAAAGTTATGCTGATGTTATGACTTATCTGTCTTCATGGACTTACTCTCTAGTCTTACAATCAACTGTTTGTATGTTGTATGAATTGTTCAAGTATCTCAACTGAAGTGACCTCAATATCCCTTTATCTAACCCTCCATAGAAGATTATCATCATCATTGTTATTATTTGATTACTTGTTCCACATCTTTAGTTTCTGATTGTGTCATATCTCTTTAATTTTATATTTCCATTATTATAATTATATTGTGACAACCGGTGTCATATCCATTCTAAAATATTTCATTTGGCTGATTGTATAAGTTTTATTTCAATTATACCTGATTGATCTTTAATCATAAGAATAATATTTAATGTCAGTAATGCTCCTTTTTCAAGTAGAGAATTATTATTTTGATATTTGATCATTTGAGTGCAAATTTTTCTGTTGGAAAACATTGCTTCCTTGCTTAGAAGTGAAAAAATATAATAAGGAGTTGGGCTGGCGCAGTGGCTCACGCCTGTAATCCCAAGCACTTTGGGAGGCCGAAGTGGGCTGTTCACTTGAGGCCAGGAGTTTGAGACCAGCCTGACCAACATGGTGAGACCCATGTCTACTAAAAATACAAAAATTAGCTTGGCATGGTGGTGTGCACCTGTATTCCCAGCTTCTTGGGGGACTGAGCTGGGAGGAAGTATTGAGCCCGGGGGCGGAGGCTGCAGTGAGCTGAGATAGTGCCATTGCTCTTTAGCCTGGGTGACACAGCGGGACTCTGCCTCAAAAAATCAACAAATAAATAAATAAAGGAGTCGATGGTACTGCTGTGTATATATGTTATATATAGAATGTATATTTACAGATATGCACAATAGTATATAGGTATTGCATACATGTTTATATTTATGCATCTTTCACTTAAAATTTTTAATTGATTTCCAAATATCCTGCTACTAAGGTAAATAGCTATTAAATGGACACAAATATTTTGATAAATTGTAATGGAAAAAGTATGCATTTCATCCCAATCCAAGATAGAAACAAAATATTGTTTTTATGAGAAAAATAAGTATCAGTTTGGAAGTAAATAGTTCATTCAGAAAATTTAACGTGATGAAAGTTTATACTATTCCCATTTTCTCTTATTTTTCAATAGTTTCTTTAGCACATTTTTAACTTTTTAGGGGTCATAGTTCTCTTGTACTCAAATGACACAAAGACACAGCATAGAAAAATCAAAGCAAAATAAGGATCTAACAGGTGACTACATAGAAAAACATGAAAATAATGTATAATGAATGTATAGTACAGTTGCAAAGTCATAGAAGACTTGCCAAACATTCTCAAAACATTTGTTTTAATCCAAATATGAGGCACAATTCAAAAATATTTTATTTGATATTCTTTAACCAAGCACGTATGGTGAGAATATTAGCATTTTTCTTTACCTGTAACTATAAATTGAAATATTACTACTTAAAGAGTATTTATTGAATGTGTATATTTAGTAAAAGTATTATACTCCACCCAAACAGAAATTATTATGAAAACAGTCTGTTAACATGTAATTCTGTATATTTAGTATAGTTTACTTTATGCTCGCGTATGAAACACTTTTATTCCTTTAAACCTGTCATTCATTTAAAACAAGCACTATGTGCTTTACAAAATTTAGATATGTGCAGAGGGTAAATTATGAGTTTATAAAAATTAAAGTCACATAATTTTAACAAAAATTCAGGGCACTCAGCTGAGTGAAACCACTTCAATGACTATTTTTAATAACTGTGGGATCTTCCTACCTGATGCTGATGACTCTCATTTGTAGGATTGAGGGTAAATTTCAATCTACAATACCTCATTGCCATCTAGCACTGATAAAATAACATTCAAGGAAATAAACCAGAACAGAAGACTTTATAAGTTACTTACCACCTCAGTTTCAGCTCCAAAGTACCTAAAATCTTTAACAGTCCTTATCTGTTACATAAAATATGTTATGTAACATATTGTTATGACTGATAACTCCTTTTTTTTTTTTTTTTTTTTTTTTTAGACGGAGTCTCGCTCTGTCACCCAGGCTGGAGTGCAGTGGCCGGATCTCAGCTCACTGCAAGCTCCGCCTCCCGGGTTCACGCCATTCTCCTGCCTCAGCCTCCTGAGTAGCTGGGACTACAGGCGCCTGCCACCTCGCCTGGCTAAGTTTTTGTATTTTTAGTAGAGACGGGGTTTCACTGTGTTACCCAGGATGGTCTCGATCTCCTGACCTCGTGATCCGCCCGTCTCGGCCTCCCAAAGTGCTGGGATTACAGGCTTAAGCCACCGCGCCCGGCCATGACTGATAACTTCTGGTCTAACAAATATCTTCCTTATTGTTGTCAAAAGTATGTGGAACTTTCCATACTTCCTTTTTTCTCCACCAAGACACATTTAGGGATTTTCCTAGGGGGAAACTTGGGGTTGAGGATCTTTCTAAAAGTTAAATTTTTATTGTTATTTTTGCTAGAGATGTTGGGTTTTGTTGATGAGTATGAAAGTTGTTTTGCTGCTCAACTATGGCCTGAATATCAGCAAAATCACCATCACCTGTGAGCTGGTAAAAAATGTAGAATCCTAGGCCTCATTCCAGACCTACAGAAACAGAACCACATTTGTTGGAACAGAAAATACATATTTGAAATGAATCAATTAGAGTAGTTGAATCCAAAAAGAAAGGTATAAGAGTTTAAGGGATAGTTGTGTGACCAAAGTGAGTCAACCTGATGTTAAATTATGTGATTTAGTGAAAAACAAAGGAAAGCTATATGCCACAAAATAAAACATAGCGCATTCCTCTGTGCCATATCATACCCTAATCACAAGTATGAACTGAGGAAAAGAAGAGTAAGGCAATATGCTGAAGAAATAGCATAATTTCTCTTTTGAGTTGCATATTAACCAAAAGGAGATGCCAGTAATATATATCCTTCTCATTCCTGTGGCATTTATTTTAGGGATCCACACAAAGAGGATAACACATGCATCAAATCCAATGAATTTATAATTTACTACTCAAGGAAAATAGGATTTTTTTTCCAGCTTTTATCTTCAAACCACTTTTAATTTCTTTGCATCAAGAAATAACTACAAATTAAGTGCCAGTAAGTAAATACCTGATTGTAATAGATTATTGCTTCTAATAATTTCCAAATAAGAAAGGCTTATTGTACTCTTTTAACCAGGAGGGTGTGTCCACTCTCACAGTAAGCTTGGAGGAGGCAGGAGGGAGGAACAAGATACAATTCATAATAACTTAGCTGGGCACACAGCCAATATTCAAAACCAAGAATCCAAAATCCACAAATTGAAGGTTTTTCTATAACATTCTGACCAATATATGTGCTGCTTTTACTTTTAGAAATTTCAGATATTGATGTAGTTGTAATATGCAGTTTTATTTACCTCTTGTTTATAATTGCATGGTGATGTATGCATACAAAACTTTACTGTAATTATTTCATATTCAATTACAATTACAAAATATTTGACTTATCCTAGTGATAATTCAGTTTCACAATTAAATGAGTTGCAATTGATTTTGCTTACATCTAGAATCAACTTTAGTGACAGGAATTTCTTGTTTTGGCAATATTTTAAAAAGTGTCTAAATCGACCTTTTCATTGTCGACTTTGGAATATTTATTGTATTTTTTCCTCAATTTTAGTAATATATTTTAAAATTTATTGTTCCTACTCACTTAAAAGTTATAAGCGTGTGTTAAAACTGTAAGTCTATATTATTCAGGTAAAAGAAAAGCATATTAATTATTGATTTACTACTATATCTCTCTTCCAGTTCTTCAAATTAGTACAGTAAATACTGCAACAAAGGCAAACAAAAGTGAATTTGAAACATATTTGCAAAGCTATAGACAAAAAGTGTGACACACTTAGTTTGACTCTCGATCCTATGTTTTATGATGGTTATATAGTCTGAATTTTGCTCAGCTACCTATGCTCCACCTACCTATGCAGAAATTTATTTTGCTGTGGCACTACTAGCTAATAAATACAAATTTGATAGTGTCGCTGCTACAATGTAGGAGAATGAAACAGAGGAGATTTTAGTGAGTGAAGTTACCCTATTGTGGCAAGGTCTGCTAGTTGTGCCCAAATCCTTTCACCTTTCTTGCTGGTGTGATCCTATGACTAAATTCTTAACTATGGTATGTGAGTGGAATGATGTGTATAACTTCTCGTTTAACTGATTAAGATGACTATACTGAATTTTCTCTTTCCTTTCTTGGTGGTTGAAAATGGCAACAACTGAAAAATCTTGGAAGTGACAAGTTAAGAATAGAACTATCCTAACTATCTGGTAAGTCTGGGTTCTGGGATGACTTTTTTTGAGCTGTGACCAACTATCTGCCCTGGACTACTATGGGAGAAAGAAAAACACATTCCTATGTTCTTTGACCAGTGTAGTTTTCTCGATGACAGTAGCATAGCCTTCAGTCTAACTAATGCAACTACTCACACATTTTCCTGGTGATCATGGTTAGGATGGCCATATAATTGTCCAAACTCAGAACTTCTGGGTATAAAAGGGTGTTCAATTAATAATGAGTCTAGGAGAGCTGGTGTGAGTTGTCAGTGTTAGAACGAGGAGGTGGATGGACTGGAGCAGAGCAGCTCTGGCTGTAAAGCCATTTTTCTTTTCCTACAATGGCAGTCTCATTATGTCATTCATCTAAGCATGTTATAAGGCTGGCTCACAGACTGAGACCTTTCACCATTTGGATTTATAATAGGTACTATTATTTTGTGAGCTCAACATTTCAGATAATGGACACTTTCAGTCCCCCTAAAATCTTTAGTAAAATAAATGAGTGAGAAAAATTGGGTTGTCCCAGGGCTATCCTCTGATTGAATACCTACATTTTTTTGGCCCTACTCCCAGTGGCCATGAGGTTTTTGTACAGTCTTAAGACAGGTTCTCGTTCCCAGGAGTCTTGCCTTCTCTAATTAACCTCTGAGTTTGGATTCCTCACTTATAAAATGGGAAAAAGAATACTTATTTTCCACTGCAATTGTGAAGATTAAAAAAGAGAAACCACATAGGGAATTTAACATGGTGCCTGGCCAATGAAAACCAGTCAAAGTCAGTGGTAATAACCAAATAAAAGGGATTTCCAAAGTTCCTAAAACTAGGCACCCCAGAGCAGAACTCATCATCATTTAACAATATGTACATCTTTGTTATATCATCTTTTTTTTTTTTTTTTGCTAATAATTCCATGAGACATTCTTGTGTTCACACTTGAGTATTGGCTTCATGTTTACCTCCATCTTCTCTTTCATCCCCAATTCCAGTTGGTCACAATAACCTGTTATGCCCATCTCTTGGATCCTGCCCTCCTCTTCCTTTCCACTGCTACTAGAGTTCAACTTCAGGTCCTCTCAGGACTAAACAATCACAACAGTCTTTTAAATATTCTTTTGCTTCCCAAACATTTTTTATATAGCCAACCCCCCACATAGCTACAACATTTTTTATATGAAAGTAACAATTTTTTTTTGATGGAAAAAATCCATGAATAAGGTACTAAATTTGGGAGGTGAGGGGAGTAGAGTACAAAGAAGAATTTGAAGTTTCTTGTTAACACCTACAGATATTTTTTCTTCTACTCATGTATTTAGTCTTATAAGAATATTTTTTCATAAGTAGAATTGTACTATATATATTTTGCCAACTTGGATTCAAGACCTGGATTAAAAGGATTATAGATTTTATCAATTACCAGAATTTCTAATGTCATTTCTAATGTGTTTGATAAGATTAAGAACTCTTGACTTCCTGCCTCTTTTTAAAAAGCCTATTTTAGAAGGATACCTGTCAAAATAAGAAATACTTTAGAGGTTTTTCTTTTTTCCTTCCCTTCAAGCTATCATTTCTAGGAATAGAGAGTTTCTATGTACAGGCCTCCATGGTATACCAGATTCCTTATTTTCACCTGAATTTAGCAACTAGGCCATACTTGATATCCTTGGTTATTTCTTTTAGGGATTCATTATATAGCAGGTTACATTTGGGAAAATCAGAAGATTCTCACAGCAGTAGTGCTACCACCTGGCTTACCACATTATAGCTTTATGCTTTTCATGCTTTACCTGATTTAAGAGATGAGGGAATTTCCAGATCTTTCAGCGTATAAATTCTCTGATTTTCTTAATTAGAAAACATATGCTATTATCCTTAGTGCATTTCTACCCTAATGCTTCACTCATATGGTATTTAAAACACTCATATTCCCTTTCCATGGGTTCCCACAGCCCAAAGTATGAGGAAACAATTGTTGATAAACAGTGACCACTTTGTGCTTACATATATGTTCCAAGACTTCAATTAATATTTTTAAGCCCCAAAACTAAAGTATTAATAGCAGAGAAATGAGCATTTATTGTGATAATTATATGAAGAAATGGGTTGCATGGCAGCCTCCCCAAAAGATAGTATGCCTCCTAATTCCCGGTACTTGTGAATATTACTTTATTTGGAAAGAGGGACATTGCAGATACTATGTTATGGACCTTCAGATGATGAGATAATCCTGGATTATACTGTTACACCCTAGACCCAATGACAAGTATCCTCATGAGAAAAAGACAGGAGAGATTGAACACAGAAAGAAGAGAAGAAACACACACACAGAGGAGAAGGTGATGTGAAGATGGAGGCAGAGATTGGAGCGAAGTGGTTACAGGCCAAGGACACTAATGGTGACATTCACCAGGAACTCCCTGCAGACACCTTGATTTGAGATGTCTAGTCTTTAGAACTATTGTAGAATAAATATCTGTTATTTTCAGCTACCTAGTTTGTGGCAATTTGTTACAGTAGTCACAGAAAACAAACACACATGACAAATCCTTTTAAAAGTCATTTTTCCCAAGTCATATAAAGAGCTTTTTTTTTTTTTTTTTTTTTTGAGACAAGTCCTCACTCTGTCACCCAGGTTGGGTGCAGTGGTGTGATCAAGGCTCACTGCAATCCTGAATTCCTGGAGTCAAGCAATCTTCCCACTTCAGCCTCTCAATTAGCTGTGACTACAGGCACGCACCACCAAGCTTGGCTAATATTTTTAATTTCTGTAGAGACAGCGTCTTGCTATGTTGTCAGGGCTGGCCTCAAACACCTGGGCTTAAGTGAGCCTGCTACCTCAAGCCTCCCAAAGTGCTGGGATTACAGATGTGAGCCACCATGCCCAGCCAAGACCCTCTCATAAGCCAGAAGTAGTCTTACCTACAGATAGCAAAATGTGTTTTTTAAAAAATGAGTAAATTCTACTTGATAAAGATGGAAAAACAGGAATGGGGCTTACTCTTATATTAGTTTTCTATACCTGCATAAAATTTGCCACAAATTAGTAGCTGAAAACAAAAACTTATTATCTCACAGTTATATAAGTCAGAAATATGAACATAGCATGACTACATTCTCTATTTAGTGTCTCACTGGGCTGAAATGAAAGTATTTCTAGGTTTTCAGCTTTCTTTGGGGGATAAGGGCCCTCTTCTCCAAGCTCACCTACCCTTAGCAGAATTCATCACGTTGCCACTGTAAGAAAGACTGAGGTTTCTGTTTTATTGAGAGCTATGGGTTCAGAACTACTCTCAGCTCATCAAGCCCATCAACATTCCTTGCCATGTGACCTCCTCCACCTCTAAAGTAAGCAATAACATACTGAACTTCTCTGAATTCCTCTTCTGCAATCAACTGAAGAAAAGGCTTTGCTTTCAAAAGATTTATGTGATTAGGTCAGTTCCATCCAGACAGTCTTCCTATTAAGGTCAATTGATTTGGGGTTTTTATTATATCTGCAAAATCCCATCACAGTAGTACTCAGATCAGTGTTTAATTGCATAAGTGGGAAAAGACATGTGTGCCCCAGAGTCTGGGAATCCCACAGAGGCCACCACCTTAGAATTTTTCCTATCACAACCCTCCTCTCTGAAACAACTAAAACACGAGGTAAGATATATGAAACAGTGGCTCTTATGTCACTGGTCACCAGGCAATGGTGGACAATGGCTACTAAAAGATGGGAAACAAATGAGGTGAATCCTACAATCACTGCAGTTTACTGCATGGAGATAAGTTTCCAGGCTATAGTACAAGGAGAAGAAACCAGTGATGGTTCAGCAGTCCCTCCAATAGAACTGAGAGTCTGTGAGACCAAAGGCAGAGTTCTGGAGAAGAGAGAGTGACACATTGAACTCCAGAGATCTGCAAAGGGTCCCTTTCATGTCTTCAGCATAGCACTAATCAGCATATGCAAGTATAGGACTTAGGCTCGGTCAGGAGAATATCACTCGAAATGATTGAATGTATTTAAGGGATCATCTCCAGGATGTATACAAACCGGGAAGCAGTTTCTGATATTGGGATATGTCATAACTCGGACTATTGGTAGACTGAAGTATGTTGCTTTAGTCATGGGTTAATATTACCTAGACTAAGTTCAGTGCTAGTGTTTATATAACAAAGCTTAAAAGCATAAAAGGGTCAGACTGTTTCCAGTTAATTAACTGCTTCCCGGGATAAAACTTGAGTATTTATAGGAGTACAAAAATATCTAGCACTCAAAAAGGTAAAAATGCATAATGTCTGGTATCCAAGAAAAATTTTCAGACATGAAAGGAATCAGAAAAATGTGACATATAATTATGACAAAGTCAATAGAAACATGACTCAGAAGTGGTACAGATAATAGAAGTATAGATGAAGACATGAAAATAAATTGTAGCTATATTCCATATGTCCAAGAATGTAGAGAAAGGTTATTGTGGAGAGATGTGGAAAATATAAAGAAGGCCAAAGTTGAATTTCCAGAGATTTAAAAAAAAAAAATCTAAGATGAAAAATACACTGAATAGGATTAATAGCAGATTAGACTGCAGAATAAAAGATTAATGAACTTGTAGACATGGCAATAGAAACTATCAATGAAAATCAGCAAAAAGACTGAAATTAATAATGGATCAACAAGCATGGGACAAATTTTATTTTATTACTTATTTATTTACTTTTTTTTTCTTTCTTTCTTTTTTTGAGACAGAGTCTCGCTCTGTCGCCCAGGCTGGAATGCAGTGGCGTGATCTCGGTTCACTGCAACCTCTGCCTGCCAGGTTCAGGCGATTCTCCTGCCTTGGCCTCCTGAGTAGCTGAAATTACAAGCATGTGCCACCACTCGCCACCACGCATGGCTAATTTTTTGAATTTTTAGGAGAGACAGGGTTTCATTGTGTTATCCAGGATGGTCTCAATCTCCTGACCTCATGATCCTCCCACCTCGGCCTCTGGAAGGGACAAAATTTAATTGCATTTCTATATAGTAATGATGAGGATTTTTGCTCCTTAGTTCAGCTAAAATCGGGGTTCTTGTCTAACAACCTGGAAAAATTAGGCACACAGAAACAGTGAAAAGTGAGGAAAGTGGAATGTATAAAAAAAAGCTCTCAGCGAAAGAAAAGGGGGTCAAGCTGTGTGTTCCTAGCTCACAGATTGAATACCAGGCCACCACACAGGCTGAAGAGGCCAATGTATCAAAGTATCCCCTCCTACCCTTCCCCACCCCCATGAGGCAAGAATTCCTGGTGACTCTACCCCATTCTCCCAGTGCACAGGCGAGCCACTCCACACTGATTTATTTCCTTTACTGTGCATGTGTTAAGGGACAGAATTTTTGACCTTGGGCATGTTTAAGCAAGCCCCTTGTGCACAATGAGCAGGGCAGAATTTGGCTGTCTTTTGTCTCTATCCGTAACAATGAAGAAATAGAACTTGAAATTTTAAAATACTATCTTACAATGGCATAAACACAAAATACCTGTGTACTGAAAAGCTTAAAGCACTGCTGAGATAAATAAGCAGATCTAAATAATGGATCTAAATACTTAAATTCACACACCTAATATTAGAATGTCGATTCGCCCCAAATTGGCATATATTTGTTCAATGTAATCCCAATGGAAATCCTATCAAATTTTTCAATAGAAATTGGCAAAGTACCTATAAAATTCATACAGAAATTCAAAGTGTCTAGGGTAGCAAAACATTGAAAAAGAAATTTGAAGGGTTTATGCTACTCAATTTTAAGACTTAATAAAAGCTATTCTGATCAATATAGTCTGGTATTTACCTAAGAATAGACAAGTAGTTCAATCTAACAGAACAGAGAGCACAGAATTAGAACCATACATTAAAATTTGACTAAGGAGCAAAGCAATTTAGTAAATAAATGATTGCCTTTTCAACAATATGTATGTCAGAACAACTGGATATTTACATGCAAAAACATCAATTCATGCTTCTCACTATATAAAAAAATTAACTCCAATGATTTACACAACTTAACATAAACCATAAAACTATAAATCTTTTATGAGAAAACCTAAGAGAAAATCTTCATAATTTTGAGTTAAGCAAATATTTCGTAGCTATAACAACAAAATCATGAACCATTAAAGAGTAAATAGGTAAATGGAGAGCTATTTATGACAAACTCATAGCCAATATCATGCTGAAAGGGCAAAAGCTGGAAGCATTCCCTTTGAGAACTGTCACAAGACAAGGATGTCCTCTCTCACCGCTCCTATTCAACATAGTATTGGAAGTTCTGGTCAGGGCAATCAATCAAGAGAAAGAAATAAAGCATAGTCAAATAGAAAGAGAGGAAGTCAAATTGTCTCTGTTTTCAGATGACATGATTGTATATTTAGAAAACCCCATCACCTCAGCCCCAAAAAGTCTCAGGATCCAAAATCAATGTGCGGAAACCACAAGCATTCCTATACAGCAATAATAGACAAACAGCCAAATCATGAATGAACTCCCCTTCACAATTGCTACAAAGAAAATAAAACACCTAGGAATACAACTTACAAAGGATGTGAAGGATCTCTTCAAGAACTACAAACCACTGCTCAAGGAAATAAGAGGGTACAAATGAAAAAAAAAATCCATTCTCATGGATAGGAAGAATCAATATTGTGAAAATGGTCATACTGCCCAAAGTAGTTTATAGATTCAATGCTATTCCCATCAAGCTGCCATGGACTTTCCTCACAGAATTAGGAAAAAACTACTTTAAACTTCATATGAAACAAAAAAAGAACCCACATAGCCAAGACAATCCTAAGCAAAAAGAACAAAACTGGAGGCATCATGCTACCTGACCTCAAACTATACTACAAGGCTATAGTAACCAAACAGCTATCTGTCCTAATGTTTGGTACTGGTATCAGAACAGATATATAGACCAACAGGACAGAACAGAGGCCTCAGAAGTACATCTACAACCATCTCATCTTTGACAAACCTGTCAAAAACAAGCAGATGGATTAAAGACATAAACATAAGACCTCAACCATAAAAACCCTAGAAGAAAACCTAGGCAATACCATTCAGGACGTAGGCATGGGCATAGACTTCATGAGTAAAACACCTAAAGGAATGCCGACAAAAGCCAAAATTGACAAGTGGGATGTAATTAAACTAAAGAGTTTCTGCACAGCAAAAGAAACTATCATCAGAGTGAACAGACAACCTATAGAATGGGAGAAAATTTTTGCAATCTATCTATCTGACAAAGGTCTAATATCCATAATCTACAAAGAACTTAAACAAATTTACAAGAAAAAAAAACAACCCCATCAAAAAGTGGGTGAAGGATATGATTAAACACGTCTCAAAAGAAGAAATTTATGCAACCAATAAACATGAAAACTCACCATCAATGGTCATCAGAGAAATTCAAATCAAAACCACAATGAGATACCATCTCATGCCATTTAGAGTGGCGATCAT